ACAATGGAATGTGTGGAAAGTGAAACATATATTTTCCCCTATTTGAAGAAAAAGTGAGATTCTTGGGTGAGCAAAAGTAGGTTGTATATGGAATGGCAATTTATCAAAAAAATAAAATAAAATAAAATTTGTATATGGTATGGAATATATGAGTTTAATATCTAGAACAATTCTTTGAATTTTAGGATGGTTGGATTTTTGTTGGAATAGTTGAAAGTCTTCTTCTTATGGAATTTTTTGATCAACATAGAGTTGGAACTTGGCTGTGTAAGTTACGAGTGGACTAGTGTGAAACTTTTGCTTCATGCTTTACATATATTTGCTACAAAACTTGGTTTTACAAAGGAAATGCAGCTCCTAGGGACTAGTTTTCAATAGCATGTTCAGACAAAATTTGAAGAAACTTTAGCAGAAATTATTGGGATTTTTTTTTCCATGAATGGTCTACAAATTCTGGAAAAACTATGTAGAGGCTTGTAAGAAACTTTTCAAACATGTTGGGAAACAATGGAAAATGTATGGAAAATGCTTCCCACAAAATCATCTCTTTAGCTATACTCCTGAAGGATTTTTTCCCTTTTCAATTAGAGTTCTTACTACTTTTTAAATTATTTTGTATAGTTTTAATATGACTTTTTTTTTTTTTTTTGTTGAGGGTTGAGTGATGTTAGCCCTATATTTCTTTGCTTGAGTGTTTATTTTCTGCTTTTTGGGCACTTGATTGTGATAGAATCACAAAAGTTAAGTATCACTCTACGAATGAGTTGAGTTTGGGTCTTTGCCAATTGTGATTTAATTTCCTATTTTCTGATATTATCTTGGTTCCTTGCCAATAGAATTTTGGACTTATGCTGCTGTTTTGATAATTTTTTTTGTGTTCTATTTTGTTTGGTGGTAGTAGAGGCTTCTTTGTAGCATTGATTTGGATTAGGTGAAGTCTTCTTTTATTTTGGAGAGGGAGGTGTATCATTGTCTTATTAATTATTTATGTTTAAATTTCTTTCCTTCCCTAATTTAAAAAAATTAACAGATTGACTAGTCAAAACTTCCTCTTTGGCTTTAAATCTAGTGACGACTAGCTTTCAATCAAAAGCTGCTACAACTCATGCTTGCTATTAGCTTATATATTTACTTGAGGCATAGACGGGATAGAATAGGACTTGTTTTTAGCCTTAAAGCATGTCTTACTCAGTTAGATTACACAATTATTGTTGGGGCTATACCCATCTAATTTATTTTCTTGCAGGGCCTGTAACATGATCTGATATCAGTTTTTGACCATATTAGCAATACAAAATTTGTTATTTCAACCGACTTATTTAACTATTATATGGACCTTTCAAGAGCCTTTGAGGCACTTTGACCAGTTTGAAAACATAAAAGACCTTTGTACCAAAATTTCTTTCACATTGGCTTGTCAATAGTCCACTTTCAAAGCTCATAAGTCTCAGTGAATTTCAAACCACAATTTGAAGTTTTTACAGCACCTAGCCTCATTTGTCATATTTATTTTAAGAAGATGGACCACTTTTGACTTCAAATCAACAGGCTTATCTATGTATATGTAGGCTTTTGTGAAGTATTAGTTGAGGTCTAAGAAGCATGGACACAGACATGCGACATGACACGGATATGGCACGGACACGCTGATACACTAATTTTCAAAAACTGTGGGACACGACATGTAGAGGACACGCATGAAATATATAATTTTATATATTTATTATATATTATATATATGAATAAATTATTCAAAGATAATAAAAAAATGCAATATGACACTAATCTCTATAAATTTATATGGTTTTTATTTTATTATTGTATCTTAAGTTGTTTTGTTCGAACTTATAATTAATTTCATACGTGTCTAATCAATAGACATGTGTGTTTAAGAGATACAAACGTGTGCCCTCAAAGTGTCCAAAGAGTGTCTAGGTCTTTAAAAAATATTTAAAAATAGGACACATTTTGAAGGGTATCAGACATGTGTTGGGAAAGTGTCCAAAGAGTGTCGATGTCCAACATGAACATGACACAGATACGTCACCTTCTTAGAAGTGTCCGTGCTCCTTAGTTTGAGGTTGATAATGTCTTTATTTGTATCAGGGATTCTTATAGTTGGCTTTGAAGAATTGTGGATATTTAATTATAGAGATTTAGACTATATGGACTTCATTGGTTTTGTGCATGTTTTTGTGTGACTTCATTTGCCCCTTGAGAAATTACATACTTTTGAATTTTTTTTAAATCTTGCTTAAAGAGAGAAAAGAATAGTTGGCCAACGTTGGTGGTGTGTTTTTTATATTTATCATGTGAATCTTCTTCTTGATATTTGCCTTTTTCTTATAGGTTTCGAGTCTTGAAACTTTGTTGTGGTCTACTCTGGAAGTTAATGATGCTTTGGTTTATCTTTATGGACTATAAGGTTTGAATGTTTTTTTTTTTTTTTTTTTTCCAAATAAACATCTCTTTGCAACTGTATGTTTCATAAGAAAACACAATTGTGCTGATCACTCTCATTAGGTACATAACCATATTGAGTGTTTTTTTCATGAAGTCAAGCATCATCTATGTTATTGATTTTTGTTGTTATAGAGCATTATTGGACCTCATCAATTTAATTTAACATGTAATGCTAAGAAATAACATAGATACTAGTTTTACTTTTTCCCAAATGCATGTTAACATGTGATCAAAGAATTCAAGAATTTTAACTATTGGCAATTTCTTTTCATGTGAAAGTTACATCTTAGTTGATGGGATAGTTTTTGAACAATCCCATTCCCTTTGGGAAAAGAAAAAGAAAAAGCAATTGTTATTGAACAAATTTAGTTTTTGTTTAATTGTTTAATTGTTTGCTTGGGTTCTATTTATGGAGAATTCAAATTAGTATATCAACCTTTGTTCCATAGTCTAATGAACAAATAAAAATTACTTTGATTAAGTTCAGGTGTGAAATCTTGCCTCACGAGCGATGTAGAATGGAGTTTTGACCCATGAGTGCAATTTGGAGAAGCATTTATTGACCATGTGTTTTATTTATTTATTTTCCCTTTTTGTCTCATTTATTGATCTTTATTTTTGCTTTGTTCTATTTTTTCTCATTTGAATTTTTTTCCTTGACATTTCTTTTATGTAGTTAAAAAAAGGAGCAATAGTGATGAGTAACCAAACCATTGTTTTGTTATTTTTTTTTCTTATCAAATGAACGTCTTTGAATTAGATTTTCGAAGGAAAAAAAGTTAAAAGGGAAAGTGGTAGTTATATCTATGTCATTGTTATGTGTATAGGGAATGGAGTGAATAAAAGTTGCTGGAAGTCTAAAATGAATTACTTATTTTTGAAGAATATGAATGAAGATTATAGTTCCAATAATAAAAAATAAATAATTCATTGCATTGTTGAGTCTTCCACATAGTTGCCCCAAGTGCCAATAATTAGAACAACTCAGAACATTTACCTTGAAAAAAACTTAGAATACTTGAACGCGTCAGGTTGATTTGTGTTGAGGGATTTACATTTGACAGAGTGATCAAAACATATCAAGCAACAGTTTAGATTTTTGATCATTGTGGGCTTTGTGAAAATAGGATGAACAGAAATGGTGTGCAAGAAGATCAAAGATTATGAATCAGAAAGGTTGTTGAAGGAGCATTAGAAAAAGCTCGTCGACATTAAATTGGGCATTATATAAGCACAAAGTGCATGCCATTTCTTAGATTTGCAAATGTAATTTTGCATGAGTACCATGTCTTCACAAACTAACTTCATGACTCCTCAATGATGAGCTTTTGGAATGGGTTGTGATTCTTGGCAATAGTTTCCCTATAACCAGTTGTATTGTATTGACAATGTTTATGATTTGTTCAAAATGAGTTTTGACCCTTCTTTTTTTCATATATATATATTTTTTGGTTGGTATTCTAAACGGCTACATGGGTTTTGATAATCTTGTTTGTATTTGTTAATGTATTGTGTTATCCTATATCTAGTGTCCTCACAAACTAAGTGTGAGGCCGTGTTTTGATATTGGTTAATCTCTTTGAAAATTGGTCAAGATTGCATTAGGCTAAGGCAAGAATGCCAACACTATACACTACAATGTTTTTTTTTTTCATGCCAATTGATTGTGCAACTGATTATTCATACAAACCACAAGTCTTGGTTTAAATTGACTTTGGCAATTGAACCAATTATGTATACAAGCCACAATCCAATTTTACAAGCCATTCAATTTTGCACATACCATTTGTAAAACTAAGTCCAACATGTTTTATAATTGATTACTAAGTCCAACTAACTGTTTTATGACTGATTACGTAATCAATTATGTAACTATTTGTCTATTTGCCATTCCAACTCATAATTGAAAAAAAATATTGTGCATAAGATCTAATTATTTTTTTAATGTTGACATAGTTGTTGCAAATTACATTTGTCGCATTTCCTTTGCATTTATTGTGAATAAAATGAATTCTTTTTAAAAACATTTCTTAAAAACTACTATTGTATTATTTTGTGAAAAATAACAATTATATCTCCGCTAGAATTCTATTTTCATTCAAATATATGAAAAACTCAATTAATAAGATAAAAATTCAATTGTCAATAAAACTTTATCTATTCATCATGAAAAAGGATACAAAAAGAAGGTTAATCCAGTGTCCATGCGACAGACACATTTAAGGAAAACCCAATTAGGATTCAACATCTAATGACCACCGGAATGTAGTCAGTAACCAAACAAATACAAAGTTGTAGCCAAAATTAAATTAAGAAAAAGGAAAATTCAAATCAAAATTTGAATTTTCTCATTCTTAAGAGGTAGCAGCTCCATTTGTTGTAGCATCCATAGGCTTTGGCTTCTGTAGACGCCTCAACCTTGTCACCCTTCTTACCTGCAAACACGAACAATTAGGATTCATGTAAGTAGTAGTAGTACAATTCGATTTGCATGCTTAAATGATTTATTCCAAAGTTTATGATCAGTTTTTCCGAGATATAATGCTGGCATACCTTTCTTCTTTTGCCCTTCACCTTTCTTCTTTGTTTTTGTGCCCAAAGCTAACCAAGCTTTAATTTCAGGGTCATCTATTGTTTTAGTAGGTTGGAGCTCCTGTAGAGAATGGGACATAATGCGATCTGACCCATTTGACATTAGCATAATAGTGAGTTTTATATGGGCAACATAATCACCTACACAACAAACCAAAATTTTTAACACTAGAAGAAAATGTAGATATTCCAAGATTGATAAGCCAACTGACATATAGCCAGTGTTTGAATCTTTACTAGAATTTTAGAATTTTTTACCAAGCTTCTCAGGAAGAATAGGATATGGTTACAACAGATCATGATTGACACATTCTACCAATCCCAACAAAGCACACTCCTCTTCCAAAGCCCAGTCATTTTATATATTTTGACAATACAATGAGGCCAACGGAGAAAGGACCAATGGCCAATCTAAGTTTTTTCTAACACAAAAACTGTGATGAAAGAAGGTGTGATTGTGCAATTTTTCTATCATAGTTTTTACCCGTGATAAAAAACTTAAAAATCTGAGATCAAATGTTAAAAGTGACTAGCAATAAGATCTGAAGGACCAACAAACATTGCAGTGCAAATTTGTTTTTTTAAAAAATAGCGCTCCTAGTAAAGATAAATTGCAACCACTAGATATTATTCCTAGAAACCTAAAACTGCATCAGTGACAGTACTCGATAATTCGTGAAAAGGAAAACAACATCAATACATCATTTGAGCCTCAAAGAGAAAGTTAAAGTGACATACGTTTTGTTAAAGTAAAATGTGAAATAGAATGCTGCACCCACAATTACACAGCACCCACAATTACACAATGCTTGCATATATATGGAAAATCTACATAAAAACTAAGGAACTAACATGGGATAAGATAATGGGTCCGCCTTGAGAAGCATAGAGTTTTCTTGCTTCACCATGTCCACAATCTTGGCTGTAAATGGCTTCATTTCTGCCTAAAATTGAAGGACGTACAATGAGCATATTTAGGCCATCAATTTAATATTTAATAGCAGGACAAAGTGAGAGGGAATACCTTGAATGGCTCATTATCAGTTTGAAACTAAATTCCCGGTATGAAATGCAACCAAAAAGGAAACCCATTGTTCAAAAATAGAGTCTATAAGGCAAAGTTCACTGATAAATTGTTTGTTTGTATACTATACAATAGATTGGAACAAAATTTTATAAGTTTTACCAATGGTTCGATTTAGCACAAACAAGAGGACCAATACTTAGATGAGTATCTAAACCAGCTTTAGTAACCAATTTAATAAATTTAATGAATTGCTGATTTAAGAAGGATCCAATAGAGTACGACAGCTTATCTGTTATGGATACAGGGGCAACAAAAGAAAGACCTCACAACCCAGAAACTATGAGAAGGTTGCCTAAAAAAGTATATTTAATTAAAGATTTCATTGTTCTATATAAATCTTAGGACTTATTATATAAATATAATCAATTTTGGTTGGGAATCCAAAAACAAAACTGAAAATGGCTCAAAATTATACATAAAACTACAATGACACATAGAAAGAAGAAATCATTTCAAATAATCTATAAAATCTTAAGCAACATGGCAAGTTGGAAACTGACTTTAGAATAAAAGGGAACTTACTTCTCCTTACACTTTTTTTTTTAAAATTTTATTTTCACCCCGTCAAAATGGCCCAATTATGGATATATGCTTCAAGAGAACTTGAAAATAGATTTAGAAATTGTTAAATATAGGATATTTTTGCAATTATAAAAAATACTTCGAGTACTTTTTGACCATTACCAAAATACTTTATCAAGTTCTTATTTGCAAAAGAGTTAATGAGGTGGTGGGAAAATAGTATATAAGAAACGACACCATGTTACAAACTGATGAAAAATGTGAAATAATTATAATTACACAGGAGGGGTTATAAAATTCTAATAAGTATATAGCATATTAATTAGGATACATGTTAGAGTGTAAATCCTTTGGAAATTATGCCAAATTTCTGAACTAATAAATTGAGATAGATATAGAGGTCAACCAAAGAAGAAAAAAAAAATTAATAGTAGCCACAGTTGTAGCCTCATGTGCAATCATTGTATTAGTTACCACAATACAATTCTCTAAAAGTCATTGGAATTTACCAAAATAGATAATGCAAAACCACATCTCACACAACGTGAATAGGTTGGTGAAATGTGAAATCAAACTAAACTACATGTAATCCTAGTTTCTACAGAACTTTAAGTCAATGGCTGAACAAGCATTGACCCCAATTGTACTAAATCAATACATTCAGAACAAAATTTTATCGCATGGATTCAAATTATAGAAATCAACCTACCACGAATCGAATCTCTTGGCAAAAAAAAAGTTGACTTAGTCATGAAGCAGTGAAGAACATTGGGGGAAAAAATAGACAAAGCTTATTGATTAAGTGGAGAGAAATTACCTGGTTTGAGTGGGCGTGAGCTGAAAAATGGTAGAGTCGAGACGAGTACTAGACTTCATGGTTGAAGAAATACCGATCAAATAAGTTTGAGTTCTTCAACACTAGTACTTGATCCCCCAAATCTGAAAAATCACAGAATGAGCACTACCATGAAAATCTGTCTACATTGTTTTGGTCAAGAATAGGAAGCCATGCAATATAAACTTAGAGCAAACATCAAAGGTAGTTAAAATATGAACAATACTAAAATGCTAAAATTCATCAAAATGTTCATGTGGAAAAGAGGAATTGATAATGCTCATAACTATATCACATGGAGAACAACAAAAGAGCACGCACGTTATTGAAAATAAACAAAAGCCTAAACTACATTAAACTCAAGGAGTAACTTCCATCAAGAGCTATGGCATACAATTCAAGTTCATTTTGGGTATTCTATAAATCTATTGAGTTTTTGGAGTACTTATAAAAATCTAATAGTTCTTGCTTTGGTTGAGCATCATTATCCATTCATGGCAAACACACAATATTTATTTATTTATTTATTTTTTTGTGATTTGCGAAAATTAGAGATGCGTTAATTAGTTTACATACAAGAGATGGGCTTTCATCAAGCAATAAATGTGCTAAAGTAATAGGGTGAATTAAGGAAATCCATATATATATATATATATCATCTAAAACCCAGCCATATGAGAATCATCATCTAATATTGCATCAAAAAATTCATGAGGAAGCAATCACTCAAGTTCAACATCATAGCATCGCAGGTTGAATTTCACGAATAACAAACACAAAAATTCAACATAATCACTCAAAGAACAAAAAGGACACATAATTCCTAACATTTTAACAGCTCATGTCTGTTCAGTTTAGTCTATTATATTATATATATAAAATAATGTAAATGGGTGACTGTAATGGGTTTAGAAAATAAGGAAATACACTAACTTAAACTGAATGGCAAGGGGAATAAGCATGATATCAAGTCCTTAATTGAATCCACTTAATTCCTAGCAGAGGAACTATCACTATTGGAATCTGCGAGTGGAGTATCAGATTCAATTAATAAATGTATTTCACAATCAACCAGTAACCCTTTAATGGAAGTTGAATTACAGTTGAATATAGAGATGAAAACAAAACAAATATCATTTACCTACTGAAGAAGAACCAGAGTCACTGCTAGAACTGCTCTAACTACTTGATCTACTAACAAAAATAATAGCATATAATGAACAACCAAAATTCTCAAACTAACACAAATTCTAAATTGTTTTAATCAGAAGGGTTTTAACAATCATATTCATAAGTGATCAACTGAAAAGCATAACACTAAAGTAGTTAAAACTAATTACGCAAAAATTGATCTTCAATTTGATACATAAATTTTGAGTTTTATCTTTGTTTAGTCCAATCAATAATGCTAGTTAGATTTATTTGATAGAAATGGCACCCATGAGAGCATAATTTCATAGGCAAAATGGTAAATTTAGACAGCACCCGGAACCATAGATTATCTATAGAGTAGTTTCAAATCAAGCACCAAGATAACTACACAGGTCCAAAATATGCAATTTTCTGATGAAACAAAACATACCTAAAACCATAAATTTAATAGAAAGAAAAAAAAATAAAAAAATAATAATAAAAAAAAAAATAAAGAAGAAGAAAAAAGAAAAAAAGAAAAAGAACTTGCAATGCTAGTGTGCATGTGTGTGAATTATTAAAACACCACATACTCTACAAGCAACTTAAAAAATAAAACTATGGCTACAAGAAGCATAAATAGAATTGATTTTAGAAGTGTGAAGGAGATAGAGAAATCGATCGATAATGAAAAGAAATTGGCAGTTAGTGCATGCCAAAAATCGATTGAGAGAGAGAGAGAGAGTTAAGGTTTCCCATAAATCAATTGAGAAAGAGAGAGAGGTAATTGTTGCAGATGGAGGGGCTTCGGGTTGAGCGAATCGTAGAGGGGTTAAAGTTAGGATGAACGTTTGGTTGAGGAAAAATCGTGAAGTAAGGAGGGTGAAGATAGAGAGAGAGAGAGAGAGAGCTCCATACCTAATATCTAGTTGGAGAGAATGCCTTCACTTTAAAGATGGAACCCAACAGAGCCTTGTAGTTCCGTTGTTGTTGGAAATCAAGGGTTATACATAGATTCAACAATGAAAGCCAACAGAGGTTTCTTGTTGTTAATGGAAATCAAGGGTTACATAGAGGAAGAGAAGAAGAGGGAGAGACGAAATAGAGAGAGTGAGGGAAGTGGGATGGAAATAGGAGGGCTAACCGGTTGCCCCGGTTTCCAATATTTTATCATTAAACAATTCAATGGTCTTGATCGATTCTTTGTAATCTATGGGCTAATAATTAGGTTGCATATGGTGTGCAACCTTAAGGGGGTTGCACACTTAAAAGCTCCCCTATTTAATTATGTGAATTTTGAATATGATTTGCATTATGTGTTTAAATTGTTTGAGTTGCATATGCTAGGAATTTAGAGAATCGAGAATTTTGAGTAAAAAATGGAAAGCTTAAATGATTTGGGAAACTAAAGTTTACAAGCTTAATTAGCCTAATTTAAAATTTCAAACCTTATGTTCAGATAAAAAATAATTGGAAATAATCAATTAGGCAAATTATGATTAATTAGATAAAAGTGTGATTAATTAGCTTTAAGCTTGCTTAATTAGCCTAATTTAATTTATATATATATATATATATATATGTTATAAGAGAGGTTTGAGCTCATTTTCAATTATATGTGTTGAGATTTAGAGAGAGAGGGAGAGTAACTCTAGAGTGAGAGAGAGTTGAAGAATTGAAGAAGAGGCTCAAGAATTCACTAGAATACATCAAATTAAAGACTCAAAGTAAGAATTAAAACCTTAATTCTTGTAGATAATCCTTCTAAGAGTTGAATTCATGAAGAAATTACAACAATTTGCATGTAATTCGTAAGGATTTGTCAAGAAAATGATGAAATCAAGTTAAGGTGCATGTTTATGGTTCAACATGTTTTGTTCCATCATTTTGATTTGAGTTTTGACATTCTAGCATGCATGAGAGTTTTAACTTGGCATATTTCTAGAAAATTTCCATGAAGTTTGTTTTCCATTGCATGATCATGTTCTTCAAGACGAGAAGTGTTGAAAATCCTACATGCATGAAGGTTTGGATATCAAATTTGCTAATTGATGATGTTTTGAGTTAATGGTTTCAAAATTGGGCAAGAACTCATATTTTTCAAAGTGTTTTCATGTTTTTGAATAAGCCATGCAAGCCCTCAAGTCTTGAAAATGTGTTTGGAAACTCAATCTTTCAGTTTTGGAAAACATAATTCGTGTAGACTACTCGAGCGATGAAGTTACCGCTCAAGTGCACATTTTGATCATCTAGCATTTTTGCAGACTTTGCATACCACTCGAGCGAACAAGTCCTCGCTCGAGCCTATATTTGTAACATCCAAAATCTCATTTTGCAGACTTAGATACTGAAAGTATACATTCATTGCTTGAGCGACAAAAGAATTGCTTGAGCGAACACCTTGTTCCAGCAAATTTTGTACATCACTCTTATATAGTGATTCTGGTTTAGACCCAACCCATTTGATATTTTAGATTCAGGTTTCATTTCCTTATATAGTTGTCCTTGTCTTGTTTCCCCTTATTTCTCTTTGGGTTTGGCTATTGGGATGTGTTGGTTGTGTTTAGAACAGGTTGGTTGCTTGTTTTTCAAACTATTGCTGCCCAGAATTTTACTTCTTCACTCGAGCGACACTTCTTGCACTCGAGTGGTCCTTGTGAACTTTTAGTACTTTTGCAGGTTTGCAAAGATATTGGGAATTGGCATTTTTCGCTCGAGCGGTATTTTTTGCGCTCGAGTGGTGTTCGCTTGAGCAAGCCTTCTTGTGCTCGAGTGGTGGTTCTCTATCTGTAAAACTTCTGAAAGTTGGTATTCTTCGATTGAGCAAATTTTTTGTACTCGAGCAGTGCAACTTGTTGTATCTGGTCGCTCGAGCGACACTTCTTGTGCTCGAGCGGTCTGCACGTATATCAGTTCATAAAGTCACTTTTTGAGTCATTTTTTCATCTCTCTCTCTCTCTAAACATTTCAAAACCTTATTTTCTCTCACTGTCTCTCTAAAACTCATCAATTCCACTCAAATCTGCCTAGATCCATCGATCTTTTCACTCGTGTCCCTTTGTTAAAAATTTAGAACTAGACGAGGATTTCGTTCTAATCGGAGCAAAGTCGATTTTTGACGTCTTTGAGTTTTCTACTCTCTCTCTCTCTCTCTCTCTCTCTCGTCTTCTAAGCTTGAGGTAGGGTGTAGACACCCCATTTTTGACCAACCTTAAGACTCAGACGTCATCGTTTGAGCGCTCGATGATCGCGTATGTTTGAGCTCGTTTCGAGTTTTCGGAGTTTTCGGCTGAGTGCCTTGCTTCTGGGCCTCTGAACTCTTTGTGTTTTGGCTCAGTTTGTGGACCAAGCCTTGTTGACCTTACTTGGAGGGACACAGAGGTCTCGTAGACCACCTTTTGTGGTCGTAGACCACTTTTCCCTCTCGTAGGCTAGCTTTCGGTTTCCGGAGCCTTCAGCCGTGCGCCTTGTCTTGGGACCGCTTAATGTTCTCCTCTTGGCTTGGTTTTTAGACCATGCCATGTTGTCTTTGCCTAGAGGGACACTGAGGTCTTGGAGACCACTTTTTGTGGTCGGAGACCACTTTTCCCTCTCGTAGGCTAGTTTCCGGTTTCCGGAGCCTTCAGCTGCGCACCTTGTCTCGGCACCGCTTACCGTTCTCCTTTTGGCCCGATTTTCGAACCATGCCTTGTTGCCTTGGTCTGGAGGGACCCAGGGGTCTGGGAGACCACTTTTTGTGGTCGTAGACCACTTTTCCCTCGTAAACCACTTTTGGTGCTCGTAGACTAGTTTTTGAGGCTTCCGGCTGCGAGCCTCGTCCCCCGGACTCTTGTCTTGCATCCTTTTTGGTTTTTTTTTGGCACAAACCTTGTTTTCCTTGCTTGGAGAGTGGAATAGGGGTGGTAGACCAATTTCTCTCCCTGAAGACCACTTTTCTTCCCTGCCAACCAGTTTTCTGGTCGGCCAACTGGTCTTGGTGGTCTTTGGACCACCAAAAGTGGTCAGCAACAATGCCACCACCTTTCTTTTTATGTGCAGACCACTCCTCCCCTTGGCCGACCACTTTTCTTTCTGGGAGACCACTTTCACTGGTCGGCCAACCAGTTCAAGTAGCTGGCCGACCACTTCAAGTGGTCGGCAACTTTCCTGCAGTTTTTGCAGAGTTTGTGGATGCCAGCTGTGCCAGCTGGAGAGCACAGATTGCATCCTCCATACACGTGTATAGAGGGATTTAACCAAGCTTCTAGCTTCTCCAAGATGCTTGAAGCTTGGAGTTCTATAAGAGGGAGGCTCTGTCTCCCTTTTCCAGGTTCAGAAAAATTCCATTAGAGCTATACGTATATCTCCCTCTCTATATTCCTCTCTCTCTCTCTCTCTCTCTCGATATTTGTGCCTTAAAGTGTGTTATTTCTTCACTTTTGCACTACAACTCCTAGCCACACACCATCATCTTTGAGCTGAGATTCTTGGAGGTGGTATTTGGGTCATAAAAGCTGGTTTTGGGCTGAAGAAGGTGCTGTTGTTGCAGTGCTTCAAGGGTAACCCCTTTTCCCTTTTTTTAAGCTTTGTTTTGGTTACTCTTTTAGCCATCTTTGCATGCTTATTTTGGCTTGACTCTCAACTGTAATAAGCTTCATTTTCAAGTGTTTGATATGGTTGTTTAAGGTTTTGTTTGTGTTGGGGGTGGTCTACCTCCCTTGGTGCCTTATTTTTCCTTATTTTGAGCTATCTTTTAAAGCCATTGGGACCACCTCTTTTTAGCCTTCTCACCACTGAAACTCAGAGGAATTTCAGTGGTGGAAAGTGTGTTTTGGGGTCCCAAATAGGAGGGGGTCATCCCCTTTCCTTGTGTCTTGGTTGCTTGCCTTGTTGGCTCATCAAAGTAGCATGTTTGTCAAGCTTGTTTTGGCTCCATCTTAGCATGTCTCAGGCCTTATTTCAACATGATATGACTTTGTTTTTGGCTGGTTTGGTTGTCTCTTGCATGCTCCTTACACTTGTAGTGCATTTCCATTCACTAGCTTAACATGCATCTTGCTTTTGACCATCATTCTAGCATGTTTTGGGCTCAACTCCAGCAAGATTTTGACCATGTTTTAGCATGCTTAAGCTTTGTTTTATGTTGTTTTGGTCATGCACGCCTTTTGTTTGTGTAGCCATATTGTATTCTTGCTCACTAGCTTTATGTATTGAGTCCACTAGCATGCATTGCTTGGGCTATTTGCATGATTTGGCATCATTTTTTTATGTGATTTCAATGCATGTAGTGTGGCCATACACTCACATGTGTCACTCATTCAATGCTTTGGAGGGTTTATACTTCATGCCTTAAATATGAGCTCATATGTATGCCATCTTGCCTAGGCTTTTGGGCTGCCATATCAGTGTGTTTTTGGTCTTGTTTTTCCATAATACAACTTTGATTTTTGTTGGTGAAGTCATCTCATGCTTGGTTTTGGTAGGTGCAGTGTAATCATGCTCATTGGCCTAGCTTACTTGATGTTTTGACCCTTCATGCTAGCTTGTTTTCACTTTGCTCCATACATGTTTTAGCATCATTTTGACATGCTCTAGGACTATTTTGGGTTGCCTTGGCCATATGGTTCTTGTATTGCATAGCTGTAGTGCAATTGGCCTTGCTAGCCTTGTGTTTTCATGCCTCTAGCATGCTTCATTTGCAACATGTGCATAATTTGGCATCACCTACCATGATATTTCAGAGCATATAGCATTGCCATGTTCCCACTTTTTCACTCTTTGAATGCTTTCAAGGGTTGTGCATTATTGCCTTGTTTGGGACTAATGTATATGCATGCATGCCTAGACCCTTGAGCTCCCATCTCAGCATGTTTTGGTCCTTGTTTTGACCTATTTGAGCTCTGTCCATGATTGGTTCCATCATTTATGCCATATATTGCATACCTCTTGTGTAGTCCCTCTTGATGGCCTTGTGCCTTAGGCCTTCTTGCATGCTATACTTGTGTTATTTGAATGATTTGGCATCATTTCATACCTGATTTCAGAGCATATAGTGTTGTCACACTTCCATGTTTGTCACTTCTTAATCATGTTTGAGAGTTGTGCTCTTATGCTTAGTTGATGGG